ACCATGGAAAAACACAGGCTTCAGCCTGCAGGCTGGGGAAGCCTGCAAGGGGCTTTGGGGAGTGGAATCAGGGCAATCAAGCAGGGGGCACCACATGCATGTGTGCATGCACACATGTACATGGCAGCCAGGCAGTGTGGAAAGCAGCTCCCACAGCTCCCCACAGGTAAATCTATGGGGCGGGGGAGGGCATAGAGAACATGCCAGGAGAGCATGGGGGGGGACACATGCCCTCCCGGATGTGTGTGCCCATAGTGGGCATGGGGCTGCAGCCTGGCCGGATCAGCACGGGCAGGAACTGCCTCCACAGCCCAGAGGGTGAGACTTAGCAAGGGAGAGCAAAGCAGGATGAAAAGACTCGTTGCTGCCACCACTGCTACCAGGACCTGCAACACAAGCTGTGCTGCCAGCAGTGCAAGGAATAATGGATGGAGGGGTTCTGTCCTCATCTCCTCCTGCCACCAGCTGCTTATGCACTGGGCAACAGCTGTGCCCCAGCACCATGGCCCAACTTCCACTCCTCTCAGGCTGTGGTTCCATCCCCAAAAAGGCTGAGAACCACTGCTCTAGTCCATGCCCACAAAATCCTATTCAGCTGAATGCATATTAATGAAATGCAAAAAGTGTCCTTCATAACAGGGTTTCTGAAGAAACCAGTATACTTTGTATGAGGTTATGAATTAACTGTACTCACACTTACAATGGAACAGAGCAGCTATTTAACAGAGGAAAGAAAATAAAGATCCCCCCAGACACAGACACTAGCATTCTCTCCTTACCCCTGCCTGGCTGCAGCTGTGCCTGTGTCCCTGCACAAACCCTGTGCCCGGAAAGGGAGGAACAGTCCCCCCATCCCTTGCTGCTGTGGTGCAGATACAGGGACATAGGTACCAAGATTCCCCACTCCCCACCCTGGCTGCTTCTGACAGCTAGTTGGAGTTGGGGCTGGGGACAGAGCGGGCTGAGTTCCAGTGCACTGCCCTGCAAGGGGGGCTAGCAAGGACCCTCAAAACAGCCTGGAATGCCAGCAGACAGCAACCTAACTCCAGTCAGGAGGGCATCTGCTACAGAAGTTCAACAGACTGGTCTAACCTAAACCAAATAAGTTTGATACTACATCCATCCGGGTCTATCTTAGACCAGATTCTGCCATTTTTAAAACAGCCTATGTGCCCCAAACTTCTGTACAGTCAGTCGTCCACTTATAACTTTGAGTTGTGATGAACGTCACTTACAACGTTTATAAACTGACACCCCGTTTCGACGTTCCAATGTGGGTTTCATCTTTACAACAGCATGCAGCTGGTAAGACAAGTGGTGGAAGATGGGGAAGGGAAGGGATGTCCCCCCACGGTGAGGGAGGAACGGGGGCTGGGACCCAGGCTGGGGCAAGCGCTGCCCAGCCAGGTATGGGCGGGCAC